TTAGCAATGTGTATTTCTTTTGAGGACTGTCTATTGAAATCCTTTCTCCATTTCTCAGCTGGATTGTTTGGGTTTTTTGTTGTTGAGTGTTTTAAGTTGATGATATATTCAGAATATTAATCCTTTGTCAGATAGGTGGTGTGTGTGTGTGTTCCATTGTATTGGATGTCTCTTCACTCTGTTGACCATTTCCTTTGCTGTGCAAAAGATTCTGAGTTTGATATAGTCTATCCCATTTGTTTAGTTTTGCTTTTCTTGACTTTGCTTTGGGGATTTTGTCCAAAAAGTCATCACCACCCTTTTTCATATAGTACTGCAAGTTTTAACAAGAGCAATTAGAGAGGAGAAAAATATAAAGGAAATCAAAATTGGAAAAGAGGAAACCAAAGTATCCATGTTTGCAGATGACTTGATGTTATACATGGAAAAACTGAAAAACTCTACCAAAACGCATTTAAAATTGATAAATGAATTCAGTAAACTTGAAGGTTACAAAATAAACATACAAAAAAATCCAGTCGCATTTTTGCATGCTGAATTTATGTACAGATAAATCAAGAAAGAAATCCTATTCACAATAGCCACCAAAAAAAATCAACTATTTAGAAATACATTTAACCAAAGAAGTGATATATCCGTACAATGAAAATTATCAAACATTGTTGAAAGAAATTATCAAGGACACAAAAAATTGGACATATATTCCTTGCTTAAGGATTGGATTAGTCAATATAATCAAAATGTCTATACTACCTAAAGCAATCTTTAGGTTTCAATGCAATCCATATCAAAATACCAGTGTCATTGTTCACAGAGTTAGATAAAGACAATCCTAAATTCATATGAAACATAAAAGACCTCCAAATAGCCAAAGTCATTTATTGACTCTGATAGTAATTGTATCAATATCATTTCCCAGTCAGTGGTTTTATCTTTTAGCTCTAGTACATAAAAGGAATTATTAAGAAGATTTATCTTCTAAATATGTTCAACTACTACCAGAGAACTTATTAGAGAATGCTGGAAGTAAAACTACAGTTGGGGCCAATGGTGTGACTTAGTATTAAAGCCACTGCCTGTGATGCTGGCATCCCATATGGGTGCCAGTTCGTGTCAGGCTACTCTGTTTCCCTCGCAGCTCCCTGCTGATGGTCTGGGAAAGCAGTGGAAGATGGCCCAAGTGTTTGGTCCCCTGCCACCCATGTGTGAGACCCGAATAAAGTTCCTGGCTCTTGCCTTCAGACTGATTCTGCTACAATGGAAGACCTCTGTCTCTGTTTCTCCCTCTTTCTCTGTAACTCTGACTTTCAAATAAATAAATCGATCTTTAAAAATATTTTTAAAAACTACAATAAAGTGGCACATGGTAGGAAACTGAATGGCTATTTTTTTTAGAGATACACTCATGCCAAAGGGAAAGTGTCTCGAAATTTCAGCTGTTATGCACATCCAGGGAAGACAAAGGGGGATTTCGTGTTAACATTATTCTGATTGAATTTCTGAGATGCAAACATAAAAACAGTCTCATTAATAATATAAATAATACATGTCTGAATGTCACCTTTTGAGTGTTTCTCCATTAAGTCTTGATGTCACTTTCAAATATTAAAATTATTAAGAATAGTAATTTTGAAGCAAAATTATTTTTTAAGGTTCATGACCCTCCTCACCGCATTGGAGTATGGCTTAGAAATGTGGCACATGCGGTGAACCATTGGTTTGTTTTGGCTAAGTATGCAAGGACACAATGCAGACCATTTCACTGTAAGAAAAATTAGCCTATTTAAGGTAGCTCAAGAAACAGGAGAGCAGTATCAAGTGCTCAGAACGTCTCAGGAAAACTCAGAGAGCTGAACATCCGGGTTCTGCAGAGAACCAGGGCTCTGGAGACGGATTCTTTGCTGATCCTTCTCTGAGCTCTCATGGCCTGTCTGGCTGATCAAGGTCATTCTCACGGTGATTCAGTGCTGCCATTCTCTCCACCTACCACCCAACATTCTGCTGCATGCTGAAGCTGCCCATGGATCCACCAGGTCCAGTGCCCCCTGCTCTTCCTCAGTTCCCCTATGCATCTATGGGAGAAACAGTCTGTTTTGATCAATCCCATTATTCCAATTTGGCATATTCAAGACCCTGATTGGACAAACTAAAGCCCAGGGAACAGAATTTGATGGTTTATCACCCATTCAGAAGGAACTCATGATAGAATAGACTTTCTGAAACAAATCTTGGAATGGGCTGGTACCAAATACTTTCCTAGAAGAAATATCATGTGGAAATACACTTGGATGGAGGGTAGGGATTTTCTGTACTCTTTGAAAAGGTTACCACCTAATTATAGGACCTTAGCTGTCCCAGGATTAAGCCCATCACTTGTAAATGAGAACAGTTCACATGAAAAACTTTAGAAAATATAAATAGGATTTATAAAATAGACATAATTAATGAATATAAAACTATGTCCATTAAAGACAGAGAAAAAAAAACTCCATTATCACAAATAAACACATGCACACACACACACAAAACCCACACTGTCATATGGAAAATTGCCAATAAAATTAAATAACTGAAAGACTAAGGAAAGTCTTTCTGATTGCAGCAAATTAGAGCTAACAAAGAAAGGAAGAGAAAAAATATTTCTTTAAAAAAGGAATTAAAAAAAGAAATCTTCAAAAGCTATCCATTCTTGACCTGGCATTGTGGCAGTGGGTTACGCTGGTTCTTGGGACATCTGCATCCCACAACAGAGCACTGGGTGAGAGGTCTGGCTGCTCTGCTTCCAATGCACCTTTCTGCCAACGTGCCTGGGAAAGTAGCAGATGATAACCCAAGTTTTTGGGCGCCTGCTACATGGGAGACCCAGATAGGGCTTCAGGCTTCTGGTTTTGGTCTGGCACAAACCTAGTAGTTGTGGGCTTTTGGGGAGTGAACTAGAGGATAGAAGATCTCCTTTCTTTCTGTCACCTTGCCTTTTTTTAAAAAATATATTTATTTATTTAAAAGGCAGAGTGACAGAGAGATAGAGAGGGATACACACACACACAAAGACAGAAAGAGAGAGAGAGAGAGAGAGAGAGAGAGAGAGAAACAGAGAGAGGATTTCCATGTGGGTGCAGGAGTCGAAACACTTGGGTCGTCTTCTACTGCATACCTAGGCACATTAGCAGAGAGCTGGATCAGAAGTGGAGTGGCTAAGGCTGTGACTGATACCCATACAGAATGTCAGCACTGCAGACATCTTAAACCACTAAGCCACAATGCTGTACCATAAATAAATATATTTTTAAAAAGCCATTTATTCAAAAAGGATGTAAAATTGAAACCATACATATATATGAAAATTAGATTATTACTTAGAATTCCATGCATTTGAATCATATAATGTCTCAACAAAAACTACTCAGAAGGAAAATCTTTCTAGAAAAAAAAGGAATAAATTTAAATTAATTAAGCTTCACTCTCAGGATGTTAGGAAAATAATTAAACTGATTGCAAAGAAAACATAAAAATGAATTAGAAAAGAAAGCTTAAATAAAGTAAATAACTATTTTCAAAATAATCAATGATCCAAAAAGTTATTTTAAAATAGCTGATAAGCTACACAGGCACAAAAGAAATTATAAGAAGATAATAACTATAAATTATAATTAAAAATTTTCAAAGTCTACATTGTTGAACAAGATCAGTTTGATACAGGAGATTCAGATAGCATGACTACTTTGCAAATAAAATAGAATTTACCAAAAACTGAATGTAGATGCTTGGACTCTAAGACATATTGGCAAAGCTCCAATCTAGAAATAAGTTGGACATCATAATTCCTATCCATGCTTTAAGAAAAGAAAAGTAATCAACAGGATATCAATCTCTTTTCTTAAATTCATCAAAAAATTGAAGTCTTGTGGCAGACAGCCACGTCAGAAGCTGAGGAGAAGCGTGGATGCAGAGAATTGAAGCTGGAATCATTATACCTGAATGTGAAACTGACAGAGCCATTTACTGGTAGAAGCAATTACATGATAATTTTGATGAGTTCTGGAGGCTTAGCTTGAGGTAGGGAGGCAAGTAGTGAGGAACTAAGGAATGCCAGCATTTGTGCCAAACCCAGCCTATACCAGCCAAAACCCTATCTATTTCTGTGCAGATAGAGGGGCTAGGGTGATACCAGCTAAAAATATCCAACATGGCTGCAGCTTTATGCACCCCTCCCATCATGCACATGCACCCCACTTCCGTCGTGCTCCTAAACAGCACTCTCATCATGCATCTGATGCTATGACACTTCAGAGATTTTTTTTAAAAAGGGGGGGAGGGGCAGTGGAAATGGATGATACAAAAGCTTTGTCCCAAACTCCATCACCTTTGAATATTCAAGTAAACACTGCCCTGGCATCATTTGTTATCCTACAAAAGACAACCCATTACCTTCTTCTTCTTCTTCTTTTTTTTTTTTTTTTTTTTTTTTTTTTTTTTTGACAGGCAGAGTGGACAGTGAGAGAGAGAGACAGAGAGAAAGGTCTTCCTTTGCCGTTGGTTCACCCTCCAATGGCTGCCATGGCCAGCACACCGCGCTGATCCGAAGGCAGGAGCCAGGTGCTTCTCCTGGTCTCCCATGGGGTGCAGGGCCCAAGCACTTGGGCCATTCTCCACTGCACTCCCAGGCCATAGCAGAGAGCTGGCCTGGAAGAGGGGCAACCAGGACAGAATCTGGCACCCCGACCGGGACTAGAACCCCGTGTGCCGGCGCCACAAGGCGGAGGATTAGCCTGTTGAGCCTCGGCGCCGGCCACAACCCATTACTTTCTAATTCCATCGCTCTTCCATGATGCTTTCATTCCTTCAGTGTGTACCTTTCCTTTGCCTTTGCCTCCTCTTTGAATTCTTTCACACATGGAGGCAAGAGCCTGGGCCAAGCCTCTGCAGGGATTCCTCCTGAAACAAGGGTTGAATAGTTTGTTGGAAACTCTTGGGAACCAAATCTGGGGGAAGAGACTCACGCTTTCATAAGTTTTCGCTTCAACTGCTCCACCAAGTGTTCACAGCGAAGAGTACAGAAAAACAAACATGTTTCAGGAGGGAAAGGGTTGGTGTTGGAACTAAATATTTTAAAACAATCCAGAGCATTCTTCTTGACAAAATTCTACCTTCCAAAACAAATTCCTTTGTCAGGGCCTTTAGTGACCTGAAAGGAAGAAAATTAGTCCATTCTGGACCCTTTGTCTTCCCCTACCATGAAGAATGAAAGGGAAAGCCTAAGACAAACCTCTGAAGGCCACTGCTCAAGGACCCAGGATCACCAAACACCTGCAAATACAGAATACCAACTTCCCCTTTGACTATGGCCTTGTCTAAGTAAGATCGGAGTTGGTGAACTCAAGAGGCTTCCATAGCCTTGGCAGCTCATGACAAGAGCCTCGGGTGATTACTGACGTCATAAACAAGAGTGTCAATTGTTAAATCAACAACAGGAGTCACTGTGCACCTACTCCTCATGTAGGATCTCTGTCTTTAATGTGTTGTACTATGAGAATTAATGGTACTTTATACTTTGTGTGTCATTGTGGGTTCAGTCTGTTGAAATCTTTATTTAGTATATACTAAACTGATCTTCTGTATATAAAGATAATTGAAATGAATCATGATGAAGAATGGGATGGGAGAGGGAATGGGAGATGGGATGGTTGCGGGTGGGTAGGAGGTTATGGGGTGAAAAGCCACTAAAAGTTATACTTTGGAAATTCACGTTTATTAAATAATAGTTGAAAAATAGCAAAAAAAAAAAATACATCGCACGAGTATAGAACACTTCTACCTGAGTCCTTACCATCATGTCAACAAGGAGCTAGTAGGTCACAAAGGAGAAAGTTGCAAATCACAGACACTATGAAGTTCATACAGTGGGGCAAGAAGACCAGAGGAAATTGGAGCCCCAGCACCTACATCTGCAACTAACTCAGCTCAGTGAACTCAGATTAACATAAACTCCTCCTTAAAAGCTTGCTCATTTAAATTCCCATTTTATCATACCTCATGCACAGTTTAAATCAAAAAGCACAAGAAATGTTAAAATATGAGAGACATGATATTTGGACAAGACAATAGAAACCTAAGAACCAACCTCAGATAAACAAATATTTTGGAATCGCCAGATTAAGGATAAGTAAGTAATTTTAATATTATATCTAATGGGGATAGTAGACAATATGCAAGATCAAACAAATATGTATGCAGAGGAGTTGAAAAATCTAAGAAAGGAGCATGCAAAGTTACAGACAAAATATGCTGTAATAGAAATAAAAAAAGGCGTTATAGTAGACTAGACACAGCCACAGGTGGAAAAATAGTGAGTTTGAAGAAATGTCAATTAAAACTTTCAAAATAAAGGTTAAGGCCAGCGCCGCAGCTCAATAGGCTAATCCTCCACATGTGGTGCCGACACCCTGGGTTCTAGTCCCAGTCGGGGCTCCGGATTCTGTCCCGGTTGCCCCTCTTCCAGGCCAGCTCTCTGCTGTGGCCCAGGAGTACAGTGGGGGATGGCCCAAGTGCTTGGGCCCTGCACCCCTGGGAGACCAGGAGAAGCACCTGGCTCCTGGCTTTGGATCAGCGTGATGCGCTGGCCATGGCATGCCGGCCATGGCGGCCATTGGAGGGTGAACTAACGGCAAAAGGAAGGCCTTTCTCTCTGTCTCTCTCTCTCTCTCACTGTCCACTCTGCCTGTCAAAAAATAAAAATAAAATAAAATAAAAATTAAAAAGATGGAAAGATACAATAACTGTGGGAAAATCACAAAATACAAAAAGAGCATAATATAGATACCAGACAAAAACTAGAGGAAGGAGTACAAGAAATATTTAAATTAATAATGACTGATGGTACCAATACACCTTACTAATTAAAGTGATCAGTTTAAGTTTACAATTGATCATAAAGATACGATTGTCAAAGGGATCACATAAATAAGACCAGTGTCTGCTAATAATAATTAATGAAATTAAAAAGGAGGGAACACTCCAACATGGGAAGTGGAATCACAGCAGACTCATAGAATGACAAATGCCCTAAACAGCACTCTGGCCTCAACATCAGCCCTTAAGGTATTTGTATCTGGCTAAAAAGCCCATGGGAGTATCTCAGGCATGGAAAGCCAAGACACTGTGGCAAAAAATGACCTAAATGAAAGATCTCTGTGAGTGAGGTCCCAGAGGAAAGAAGGGGCCATCAAAGAAAGAGGTAACTTTCTCTGAAGGGAGGAAAGAACATCCACTTTGATTATGGCCTTATCTAAATAAGGTCAGAGTTGGTGAACTCAAGAGGCTTCCATAGCCTTGGCAGCTCAAGACAAGAACCTCGGGTGATTAGTGACATCATAAATAAGAGTGTCAATTGTTAAAGCAACAATGGGAGTCACTGTGCACTTACTCCCCATGTAGGACCTCTGTTCTTAATGTGTTGTACTATGAGAATTAATGGTAAAACTAGTATTCAAACAGTACTTTATACTTTGTGTGTCTGTGTGGGTACAAACTGTTGAAATCTTTACTCAGTATAGAGTTGATACTCTGTATATAAAGATAATTAGAAATGAATATTAATGAAGAATGGGTTGGGAGAAGGAGTGGGAGATGAGATGGTTTGTGGGTGGGAGGGTGGTTATGGGGGGAAAACTGCTATAATCCAAAAGTTACACTTTTGCAATTTATACTTATTAAATAAAATTTTGCATTAAAAATTAATAATGGCTGAGATTTTCCAAAAATAATTATAGACACCAAATCGCAGATCTGGAAAGCTCAGAGAACACAAATGAAAGTAAATATATGTATATTTATATGTATATATTTGTGTGTACATATATAAATATAAAATTGCAAACACACTATTTTCAAATTATACAAAACTAAAGACAAAGAGAAAATCTTGAAAGAGGTTGTGGGCATGAGGGAGGGTAGGGTGGAAACATCACTATGTTCTTAAATCTGCATATGTAAATTACTTGAAGTTTGCTTATGCTAAATAAAAATAAATAAATAAATAAAAAGTTCACACAAAATGGATCATAAATCTAAGTATACCTTGAAAAACTGTAATGCATCTAGAGACAACATCGATGATGAAGATGACCTTGGATTTGACAATGTTTTATAGATTCAGCATCAAAAGCATGATTTATGAGAGAAACCTGGGTCAGTGGGGTGACAATTAGAAAGACACAGGTAAGAGAAGGAGAGGTAAGCCACTGAACGGGAGGAAAAGGAAACTGAAAACACTTGTGGGGTAATGGATGGCTATCTAAATTATATGAAACCCATAAAACTCAAAAATAAGAAACCAACGACTCAATTTTAAAAAGGACAAAGATCTGAAGAGACAGCTATCCGAAGACAGGTGAAAGAAACCTGAGCTTAGGGAGAGATGCCCAGCAGCTGGAACAGTAAGATGCCACCACAAGCCGGATAGAACAGCTAAAACCCCATATCCGATAATACCACATGTTGACAAGGATGCAGAACACCAGGGACCCATTCATTGCTGGCTTGACGGCAAATAATACAACCACTTTTGGAGCTAGTTTGAAAGTGTCTCACAAAGTTAAAAATAGTGTTGCCATATGATGTAGCAATCACACTTCTTGGTATTTATCCTGATGAGCTGAAAACTTATGTCAATGCAAAACTGTGTACATGAATGTTCATAGCAGCTTTTTATCATAATTGCCAAATACTGGAAATTACCAGATATTCTTCAGGAGGTGAATTGAGAATGAAACTGCAGTGCAATCATTCAGTGGGCTATTATTCGGCAATAAAAGGAAATGAACTAACAAGTCATGAAAATGCAGAAGAATGATAAACTGATATTGCTAAGTTAAAGAAGCCAGTGAAAAGGCTGCATCCTGTAGAATTCCAACAAGAATACAGTCAGAGAGACAAAACCAAGAAGATAATAAACCCAGTGCTTGCTGGTTGTTGGGTTAGGGATGATAGGGGCATGAATGAGTGAAAACCATGAATTTTTATTGCGGTGAAACTACTCTGATACTGCATGGTGAAAACAGATCATTATGTGTTTGTTAAACCTCGTAGAACTATACAACACAAAAGGGAAACTTGAGTTAGACCAATAGTAATGCATCAGTAATCATTCACTCTTGGTAACAGATGTACTCACTAATCCCAGAGGGTTCATTACAGGGGAAACTATACTTGTGTTGAGAGATGTAGGTTGGATTTCTAGGGCTGCTGAAATGAAACACTACAGCCTGGGCAGCTTAAACAACAAAAATTTATTTTTCTACAGTTCTGGAGGCTGGAAGTCAAAGATCAGGGTGCAATGGGTTTGGTCTCCTTTAAGGTCTGTCTCCTTGAGTTTCAGACATTTGTGTTCTCACTGGGTTTTTACATGGCCATCTCTGTCTGTGTGCTAATCTCTTGTAAAGATTCCAATAATAGTGGATTAAGACCAAGCAAAATGACCATATTCTGCTTTAATCACCACTTTAGAGATCCTATCATCAAATGCAGTCACATATGAAGTGTTGGATGTTAGGACATCAACCTGTGAATATTGGAGAGACACATTGCAGCCCACAGAATAGTGTGAACTCTATACTTTTTGCTTAATTTTTCCATAAATCTTTAACAAAGCCAACTAATTACAAGAGCAAAAATTTACCATGCGAAAAATAGTATCATCCATGGTAGTTTTTTTTTTTTTTTGGGGGGGGGGACTCTTCTAAAGCTGTAAAAATAATTGATAATTTAAATACTACTCTTGAGACAGAGGATGTAGCATAGTGAGATACCTGCTTCTCCCAGCAGAGTGCCTCAGTTTGAGAACGAGTTCTGTGATCCAGCCTCCTGCTAATGAACACCCTGTAAGTCAGTGGATGCTAAGTCAAGTATCTGGGGCCCTTTCAACTACATAGGAGATACAAATGGATTTTCTGGCTCTAAAGTTTAGACTAGCCCCAGCCTCAGTTATTGGGGATATTTGGGTGGTGAACCAGTAGGTAAAAGATCTCTCTCTGTGTTTCTCTTTATTTCTGTCACCCTTTAAAATAAAACTAAGTAAATAAATACACATTTAGAAGATGTATATCTTTAAAAATAAGCTGCTGCATAGAAAAGAAGTTTTCCATTTTTTTTGTAAATTTAGCATAAAAGCAAAACCCATATGCAAGTAAGATTATGCGATAATGGCATATGATTTTATTTCTAAATATCAATGCAAAGATACCCCACAGACAAATGGCATGCAAGTAGCATACAATTAATTAAACAACATCATTATCAATAGCATTTTATTCTAGGAATAAAGAATACTTGAGTATTAAAAAATTTAATAATAAAACATATCTTAATGAATATATCCAAAAGAAGGAAGTTATGAACACCATCAAAGATAATGAAAAGCATTTGAGAACGTTTAACAGCCTTTCTTGGGTTAGGGAAA